CAAATAACAATCTAAGGCTCGAAGTCCAATGCCAACAATTTTGCAGCCAAATTTTTCTGCCACATCGATACACAATCTAAGCGAATTGTATTTACATCAATCTTCGCTTGCATAAATTTTATGTACTTCAAAGTGAATATCCCGTAGTCAGATCTACAAAATCGCTGTACAGTTTCGTTAATTCTCAACTTCAAATAATACAATACTTAACAAATATAATATTAGTCAACCTTGCCCATTTCTTTGTCGAGGAACATCTTCCACCTTCACAAATTTGAACTTCTCCGTGATATATTTGTCGTCACTAGTGACATGCAATTTTATCAGTGAAGAAATAACCTCTTGTAGGTGAAGAATATTTAGCAGTATATAGTGTAGAATTAGGAATGAATGTTCCATGCATTACTTTAACAAGTAGTCTTGTTATTGTGCCACACAAGCACTGAATTCCATTCCATGGTAATTAATATAGAGATAGAGTAGGATTATACTAAACATTGCCCTTATGAAAACCGTTCTCATATAGTATATATGAAATAAGTTCATAAATTCTCTGAATTTATGAAGTGCCAAATATGTCACATGAATTCGTTTTTAGAGTAGGTCACATGAATAACATCACACTCAATTCATTGCTAGGTTTCAAAAAGATTTTAAACATTTAGATACTTTACAACTACTCCATTTTGAGTTGTTTGCATAAAAACTATCTAAAGAAAATATAAATCAACCATATCTTTGACAATTACTATATTTGGATTCAGCTACAGAATTTTATTTCGTCACCTAATTTGATTATCTAAGGTAAAATTCACAATGAGTTACCTAGATGCACTTTTGTTGAGTGATTTTCGAAGTCTTACATTTGAACTCCTAGCTGCCATTACCTGTATGAACAAGGAGTTAAAATCTTGTTTATTTCCAGAAAGAAATAATCATTTGAGCGTAGAAGTCACTTGTCAAAACTAACCCGAAGAACAAAATTCTTATAGATTGTTTCAGAATCCATTATTCCTCGTGTTGCTGGTCACATCTTAAAAGACAGCCAGTATAAGAAAACACAGGTCTTAGAAAATCGGTCTAAACATCATCATCTATGACACATATAGTGCAGTTAAAACCTTACTTATAATATTGTCTAGTCATCCTCAATGTTGCTTATTGAACATGCTTTGAGACCCTTAAAAATAATATTTACTATACAAAAAGGTATAGTTTAAAGTTGTCTACTAAATGAATCCTTCTCCAATTCTCAACTATGTTCATAGCTAATTATTGAAAGATCTAAACAAAACACGAGGCATCCAATGACATCGAAGGGAAAAGCAAAATTGTGGCAGCTTCTTGTGCACTTTTATAGTTACTGAATATGTTTTATTAAATTTTAATAACTCGTTTTTATCTGGCTATTCAAATGTACTAATTACAAAGATTAGGATAATTAATTCCCATATTCACTATGAATTTTTAAACATAAATAAATCATTTAAATTTATTATCGTTATATCTCACACTTTAGATTATAGATTAAAGCTAACTAATAAATATTTAAAAAAAAAATGCAGTAAGCAAAAACACCAAAAATTCGAAAATTATAAATGAGTTTAAAAAATCAGAAAAAACTAGAAAATAAATCGAGGCATTAAGACTTATCTATGCGTTGGCAGAACTAGTAGCAATCATTAGGGCAATAATGGTTGGGGACAGTAAAATCTACGAACTTTGGGGCCTCAATTTTCTCGTAAAAATCCATCAACTTCGCCTCATCATCTTCCATGACTACGGAAGTGTCTATAGAATCTCTGTTTTTCAATAATGACAATAATAATAGATATGAATCCAGAAATTTTGTCATTTTAATTATTTGATTTTGAGTTTTTTTGGATATCAATGAAAAATAGGGTACAAAGTGAATAAGAATGGAGCATTTGTTTGTTGAAGAGGAGTAGAGCTAGAGAAGAGGGCTTTTTAATTTGGGGATAAATGATTTTTGACGTGAATAAATCTCCAATTCTTTATTCAATTTGGTTTTACAAGGGAAAGGTAAAGTAGTCTTTTTACACTTTTAATAATTTTATTTTATTTTATTTTTTATTACTTGGTCAAAGGCCTATTGGACAAAAAGAGATTGATGGATGGCCATTCGAACTCATTCCCCTTTCTTTCTGAACATTTGGCATGTACGCAACAATTAAAGGTACATATATTTTTTTTAAAAGTATTTCTACGTAATTTAACATCATGTTAAACTTAACTCACACTTCAAAAGTTCCCATTATAGTGATGCATGCCTATCTTGAAATTTTAAGCATCTTGTGCGCAATTTGAAATATTACCCATCTTTTAATTAAACAAGAAACATAAAGATAATTATTTAATAGAACTCTATTTAATACTTACGAAAGTATTACATACAAAATGTAAAAATTCAATGTGTATTTATATTATTTATTTTTGTCATATCGTCACAGAGAAGTACAAGTAAAACATTACCATCTTAAGAACATTTTCAAGAGGCTCTCTATTTTTAAAAAGTATTGTTAGGTCCAAATTTTTAATTAACAATTTCCAAATTTGTTGCACACTTTGTTTCATACCTCACATCAAATTATGAAACTAACCCTATCTTACAATTAATAATTTCAGATTAAAATTCATAAAATATGTAAATAAAAAAATTTTATTATACTAACACTTCTAGTTCTCTACAGTGATAATCTATATACAGATAATCTCAATATAGTCATAAAAAATTATGGTCCTAACTTGAATAGTTATGAAAAAAGAATAAATTTCATATTAAATAATTTATAATTTTTCTCAGTCTCTTCTTAAAGAATTTGAATGATAATTATGTGTATTGCCAAAAATATATGCTGTGATATATTAAAGGTTTAAACTTTTACGATGACTGCATATTCTCAAAACTAAATAGATACGTGCAATAATTTTTTCAAACTTTTTCTCTCTGTTTATAAATGGCTATACCTTGAATTTAACATGCTCCATTAATTCATTATTAACGATCCTTTGAAAATCCGCAAGTTCACGGAATGAGCGTCGAACTCACGAGGACAATTTGTTTGACCGAGTTAAGATTAATTGCAATTTTAATCAAATAGAAAACAAGTTGTTTTGATTTTTCTCTACTAATTCTTAAATTATCTATTAAACTAGTGAAAACAAGTAATTATGTTTTTCATATATGTGATATACATTGCTAAGATATCAAATCCCTCTTGTTATTTCATTTTTAGTGTTACATTTAAAGAAACAATTTGAAATCATTCATATTGGTCAATGTTCCTAATCTAATTGAAAGTCTTTCTCGATATCGATCAAATATATTCCCCTCATATGACTCTTCTATCTCTTGATGGAAGATGTAAACATAATAAATGTATTAACAAGTGTTAGAACACCTATTGAAGTCATATAAAGCATAAATGTATATTTTTATCTTTTATCGAACCTTACAATTTTTATTATATTGTGCTTAAACCCTATTGCCTCTCTCGATAACAATAAAATCTACTAACAATTCAATTAATGATCAAACAATTAAAAAGAACGATAAAAACGATAATAAACATCCATAAATCAAACCAAACTAAAGTCAAAATAATTAATTAAAACTAAAAATATCATAACAAGACTTCATCTCATCCCAACAATGTATAAAACTAGCCTAATATATCAAAATTACAAGAAATCATCTTTGAGTGAAAAGACAACCTCAATTTTTTATAAATTGAGAAGATGAAGATGAATTTTGAAATCTTGAATCTCTTCACTGGTTTTTTAATAAATCTCCACTTACACTTCTTTTCTTTGAGCAAAAATTAAGTTTGAATATTCACTTGATTGAATTCTTCCAAATCTCATTCAATTTTCTCACAAAAACTACGAATTTTCCCACTTTGATGATAATAGTTGATGAATATTGGAGTATAATATGTCTATCAGAGGTCTCAAATATGTATTATGCTGTTAGATAATTGTAGGAGTCAAGAATTGGTTGAAAATCACGTTGAAATTGATTTCCAAAAGAGCTCCAATCGACTAAGGAAAATTGGTTGAAAATCGCATGTTTTTGTCTTTGCACAGTACTCAGTATTTTTGTTATAATTTTCTCTTCCAATATCCAATTGAAACAATTCAAAGTACATTCAATAGCTAACTAGAAGGGCTACAACTTTCCTAGAAAATATAATTTTTCTAATTCGAACGTTTACTATGCCAAAAGGGGGTTTGAAATTTTAGCTAAAAATCTAGAATATAATTTGTGCGATTGAAAATTGATTTTAATAATATTTTGATCATATTACATTCCTTTTTTACTTCTAATTTCATCCAATTGTCTTCTCTTCAAAATATGGTTTGGATATTTGCAATTTGGTCCTCAAACTTTGAAATTCATCATTTTTCATCAATTTTTGCTTCTTTCTTTCAATTTCTCATTCAACTATTGAGTTTTATGTATATAACATAAAATAAAATCACTTACGATATATTTTGTTAGAAGAACTATCAAATATCGTTATTTTATGCTCCGAATAAGTGTATAAAACGTAATCCATGTTTTACCTCTATACTACCTGCACCAAGGATAATTAAGTCAAAAGAATAATTTCTATAGTAATACCTCTGTTAGAACATTTTCAAGAGACACTCTAAACACAACACAGGTTCTCTGTTTTAGAGAGTTAATGCTAGAAAATAAGTTCCAAAAAATTATATTTTAATTGTTAAAAATTGCGATAAAATAAGGAGTTGGTTACAATAATTGCATCTAATGAGCAACATATTTTAATATTATACTTCTTAAATTATTCAAATTACATTTAGTCTTTGTTTGGTTTAGATAAAAATCAGATTTTTAGTATGATGGAATGTGTGCCTGAAAAATTGTGAGTTCCATAAAATATATAATTTTAATTAACTTCTTTTTTTGTTGGTTGAATTGCATGGTTGTTCAGCTGATTGAGTCATTTGAAACAATGCCTTTTAGCAGAAGCAATACAATTGCGATGAACATGGATAATTCGTCAAAAGTGGAGTATGGGCGTCTCATTAAAATATCTCACTCTTCACAAAATCCATCACCATCTCTTGTCAACCAGGTTTGGTTTTTCTCATTTTGTTAGCGGTTGAGTTGAGAGCATCTATAGTGACAAGAAGTACGTGTAGTTAACTACAATTGTACAGGAAGATCAAAGTTTCCATGAATTAGCAGGCTTGAATTTTTGTTTTTATAAAATCTGTTCGGTTTACTATATTTTCCTTATGTTAAATTTTTGGTTTGCTGTGATAGTGGAACTCTGAGGATGATGAATCTCCAATGCCATCATCACTGTACAATCCACTGGTTGAGCCTAGTCCATTGGGCTTGCAGTTGAACAAGACTCAATCATTATTAGAATTGATCGAGAAGAGGCTCTCCGAGGAATATAGTGCTTCCCTTACTGTAAAATTTAGTAAAAATCGTAACTAGCGAACCCAAAAGGATGCAAAGAAAATCACCACTTCAAGTGCAAATGACAAGTTGAAGGCTTCAAAATTTTCGGCTTCACTATTGAGGATTGGCAGTTGGCAGGTATCATCTTTTGACATCATATTATAGTCGGAGGATCATATTTCAAGAATGCATTTCAATAACTAGTTGGGGTGACAAATCGATTTTAGGGAACAAATCAACTTGATTGAAACAAAGCGTCGCGACAATAACTC